CCTCTCAAGCACCTCTGCTCCAATTCACAGCATTTTTTCTTTTCCAGGCAGATAACAATTCTATCCTAGCCACCTCGACCAAATATTTAAGAGATAAGGAGCACTGTTTGTCTTCAGCAGCAATGACTGGACTCTGCTCATACACCTGGGATGCTTTGCTAATGTGTCCCACAGGGTAGTTTCAGGTCAGGCTTAGGTATCCCAACTCTAAACAACCCTTTTCCTCTTCTCTGTGGCATTTCCCACAACCACCTTCTCCTCCTCCAGCTCCACAGCAAGGCCCAGCAGTCAAATACAACTGGCAGCTGCTGTACAACCCACGGAGAGCTGCAGAGCTCACGTTGGCTTTGCTGCTTGTCTGTGCTGAGTGGAGCGGGAGAGGGCATGGGGGAGTGGCAGGTACAACAGAAGGCACCACCCAGTGGAGCACAGACCTACAGGGATCCACCCGCAAGATCCACAGGCAGGCATTTCGCTCTTCTTCCCCTCTCCTCCCATAAAATTAGGGAAGAGACAACATTCTAATGACAGTTTGCTGAAATATGCACTCCCTGCTGATTTGACATTGGGCAGAAAAAGTGTCTACAGAATCAATTTTTAATAAATGTAAACAACTAAATTATGAATGACAAAAATATAACTGAACAGTTAAATATTAATCACCTAATTACTTAAATTAATACTTTTAGTGCAATGTTGTGATAGAGAGTTTTACTTACACTGTGTTGCTGTTCTGGCTGGGCAGGCATGGGAGAGGACAGGACCTCAGTGGCCTCCCTGGTGGTGGGGCTGGGGAGCAGAACGCTCTGCTGGCGCTTGCCACAGCCCCAGCTGCTGTGTGGTTGTCCCACAGGTCTCGTAACACTTGGTACTCCTCCTAAAGCCTCTGGAACCAGATTCATTGAGAAAGAACTTCAGTTTTCTGTTAAAAAAGAGAGCTGTCAAGAAAATGTCTGAACTGGCTCCAAACCAGAAGTCAGCCTGCCCTCCCCCCCAAACTTTCCCATCCCAAAGTGCAGTGTGTGATGTGCAGGGCTGTATCTGTGCTCAGTGATCATCTCAGGAAGACCGAGGGTGCTCCAGAGGGAGCTGGGAGTGCAAAAAGCTCTGGCTGCTTCTAAGATGGCATTGGGTGAGTTTATGAAGGAGATGGTGATCTGTGAGCTCTGCTGTGGAGGCCCCCTCTATACTCCTATCTTGACACATGCTGCAGGGAGCTTGTGTGGTGAAAAATTGGTCACCAGCATTCCGAGGGTTGTGAGCAGCAGCAGCGTCTGCAGGTACTTGCACACAGCACTCGGCTTCCTCCCCTGCCCAAGAAACTAAGAAAAGAATTTACTGGCGCTCTTGTCCTTGTGGGTTGGCTGGCTGCTTTGTTTGTTTTTAATCTAATAAAAGGAGATCTTAATATCATAGTAAAATCGGTACAAAGCTAGAAACTTGCCCCTTGGCGTTTTGGCAAAACATTATTGAAAATGTAAAAGCCTTTAGCAGAAACAACAGAAGCACAAAGAAATTGCAGAAATAGGATGAACAGGTTGTGTTCTGGATGTTGGAAGGAGCAGGGAAGAGCATCTAGCCAGGATCTGAGGTGCCAGCAAGACCCACTAAGCTGGAGGCTGGATGCCAGCTCCACAGTGGCTCTGCTCCACAGGGACATGAGGCAGCAGTGGTCAGGAGTAGGGGCCCTGCGAGGGTCGGGGTGGGCTGCACTGTAGAGCAGTGGCTGGGCAGGAGGGAAGAGCACATTGCTGGAATGACAGGAGCCACAAGGGTGGCAAATGGCTGGGAAGAGCCATACAGTGGGAAGACAGTGTGGGCATAGTGGGACCTGGCCAGGGGGCTGGAGACAATGGAAAGGCAACTAAGCTATCCTTAGGCTTGCAAGTACATGGATTGACCCTGGCTCAGTCTGCTCCCTATCTGGAAATTAAGTCTTGGACAGAACTTTAAAGAGTGTTGTTAAATCAGGAAGTGAAGCATCTCTTGCAAAAGGTGGAAATGCTGAAGCAGCATTTCATTGCGCAGACTCACCCATCACTGTGGGATCCAAGTGTGGCTCTTTTTGCTTCATCTCTGTTTTCCTGTGCCTCCCACCTCTTCATAAACATAATTGGAAGTACAGTGTCATGAACATGCCATCACCCAAATTGTCCACTTGGCACCATGATCACTCATAAGTACAATGATTTCCAGGGTGACTACTGCCCAGTCTGAGAGCTGCAGCCACTCCCCATGACTTCAACTCACATCACATGGCAGGCTGCTGGAGGGAAAGGCTTCTGAGGCCGCCAGCTGGGCTGGTACCTAATTTCTGATTGAACAGCAACAAGTTCACGCAATGCAAAACCATTCCCATCCCCTTGTACTCACTGACTTGCTGGCTCACAGCCTGTGCACATTTTGCTTCTGTGCTTCTGTATTTGGCATTTCATTCTGGCCACCCAAGCTTCATCCACTGAGCACATCAAGTCCCAATGGGGCTTGTGGAGCTGCCCATGGTCACTGTGCTCTTTTCCATGGTTTCAAATGTGATGAGTAACCCTATCAGGTGAACTTCCCTTTTGAATGCATCACTTGAGTTCACTTTGTGCTCTCATGGTATTGCATTTTCTGATGGACTTTCTACAGGTATGGTTTATACTGGTGAGAAGGTGAAAAGGGAGAAGCAGGACTGCTTTCTGCCCACAGCATTATAACATGATGCAGTGAAGTTGATTTTTGGAACAACTCTCTAAAATGAGCACCCTAAAATGTCGAATAAATCCTTAAACTATTCATCACTGTTTTTGGGGTGGCAGTTAAGTCTTTCAACACTCTGCAAGTTTCTTTCCCCAGCAGTAATTTTGCTGGTGAAGAAATATAGCTCAGGGCACTCCACAAAGGCCTCAAAATTCATGTTTTGTTTTCATTACCAAAAAAATGCTTCACTACATTAAAGAGCTGCCCATTAAAATGTTGTACCATGTCTTCCCTGTGCCCTGTCGTTGTTGGCAAACCTTCCCCCGTATGGGTGGCGGAGCCAAACAGCAGCTGTTGCCTCGCTTTGCAGAGAAAGGGCAGCAAAGGGGTTTAAGCCACAGCCCAGCTCGTTTAGGTGTAAGATCTCAAAATGGCCACACAAATTTGCTAAATAAATGGACCGTACTGAACCTTAAGCTGCTCTATCAGTGTTTCTTCTGCTTTCAGTCTAACCCAGTACAGCAAACTGGCCCACACGCCTAAGGAAATACATTAACTATCTAGTTCCTGGAATAAAATTCAACACTATACTATATAACACTATATAACAGCAATATATTTAACTGTCTCAGGTAAATAGTCCTAAAGTAACAACAAAAGAAGAAAAAAATGAATTACTGGAGGCTTACCGGGCCTTGGGATTATATAAATGAAATGTTGCTGCATGAACTGGATAGTGGTTTTGGATATCACTGAAAAGCTAGAGGTTGAAGAAAAACAGTAAACATTATAATTAGTGTTTAGGGGGGCATTTGATTATTCTCATAAGTAGCTCAGACTCTCTGAATGCTGACATGGACATGAGAGCAGGTGGTAAAACCTGGAGCTTACTTAAGAGGGCAGAAAGGTTTTTAGCTGAATTCTGTGGGGACTTGGTAAGTCCAGTTCTATTTAATATCTCCACAGTTAATTTAGAAATAAACTGCATGTTAATTAAATTTGCAACTAAATCAGCAGGTTGGAAGATCAGAGCGTGGTGCAGCTGCATAGAGCAAATCTCACCATGATCCCACACCCCAAAGCAAGTGGCACAAGGTGCAGTGCCAGCACCAGCACTGCGTGTGGGGGGCAAAAACCAGCCCCTTCCCATCACCTTCCCCAGTCAGGCTGTGGTCTCACATCTGCCCCCCTCACTGCCGGGCCAGAAAGTTTGGGGTGAGGTGGTGGTGCTGGAAGGAGGGAGACAGTGGGGCTGTGGCTGTGACATGCCATTAGCAGGGTTTGGTAAGCTTGTAACCCATGGCAGGGGCAGGCCCTGCCCTGGTCTCAGCGAGGGACATGGGAGGATTGCACATCCGAGTTGAAGGGACGGCTCAACAGTGACATCCAGCAGGCTGTGGGATGGTCTCTCTGAGAAACAGAGAAGTCCTCACTTGTGGGGTTATTTAAGACTTGACTTTGAAACAGGATACACTCTGCAGTTGGGAACAATGTTGCACTGTCAGAGAGATGGACTCAATTACTTAATAGGTCGTTGCTGTCCGTCTCCTGCGATTTTCCTTTCAAGAACATATATTCAGCTGGGTTATTTCTCATGGGAAGACAAAGTGTTCTGAGAGCAGCCAGGCGTTTGGAGGGCAGAGGCAGGAAGAAGAACAGCCAGGCAGATGCCCGATTTGCTTTCTGCAGAGCATGCTGCTCAGGACGTGGAGAAAGCTGGAGTGATGTAGCTGATGTGGTATTTTGGTCCTACAACTAGCTGACTCCCCAGTTTCACTTCCTCTTCTTTGCTCACAAAAGATTTGCCATGTTGCTTTCTCCTGCCAGGCTCTGATCCACAGGACTACTGGTGGTGGGACTGTGGTCCCACAAGGCAGTGCTGCAGATGCAGCTGGGTAACCATTTGGTTCTCCATTAGCAGGACATGGTGGACAGGGATGTACAATGGCGCCAACGGTGTATGTTCTCACCAAGTTACTCTGCCAGCCATGGTGTGAGCGTTTCATAGGTGCTTTCCTTTTGGAGTCATGAGCCTAACTCACAGCCCTGATTTGGGGCAGAGTGAGCTTAGCACCAGGCAGCTGCAGCTGTCTCCTGCTAGTGCGTGTACCTGCATCTACTTTGTGTGTGTGAGCATGTGGGTGCACATGTGTCTCGGAGGCATCCTTCTCTGTGCACTTGTTTGTCACCAAATTAAGATACTGTGTTACCTTATGCACATTGAATTGATACAACTAAATTGGCTGCATGTTCTTAACCCCTGAGGGTGTAATGAGATTTTGTCTCTTTTGCCCATTTCTTTTTCTTTCCTTTTTCAGAATAAGTCGCCTATTTAATGGCACAGAGCCTATTGTCTTGGACAGTTTAAAACAACATTATTTCATTGATCGAGATGGTGAAATTTTCAGATATATATTAAGCTTCCTAAGGACATCTAAGCTACTGCTCCCAGATGACTTTAAGGTAAGGAAAGCTATAGTCTGCAATCCATTTTTTCCTCCCATTCTGTCATTTGTTTTGGTGTAGGCTTGACCTTAAACACACTTAAGAAAATTTTTCTGTTTATTGTTAAGATTTTTAGTACTTATGTATTTCACCAAGGATGCTGTTACTTAATAAATGGACCAATGGTTGTCATGGATACCACAAAAAGTTAAGTGATGAAGCTTACGGCTAAATCAGTTTTTCTAAACTAATTGTATTTTCTCACAACAATTAAGAAACAGCATCAGCAGCTAGCACTTACCAGTGTTTAATGCTCAGATTCTGAAAAAAATGTTTTAAATTTGATACCTAGAGGTCTTAAATTGTAGAAGTCATTTTCAGTTGGTATAAAAAAGAAACACCCTTAAACAAGCCCATGAGGATTTTTTTGTTAGATATAGCTGATACAGATACTTTGATTTCAGGAAGTAATCTTTTACACAAAATTTTCTGGGGAGGTGGAATTTACTGAGGGCTTTTTAAGGAGCAATGCATGCTTCTATGAAATAATGGTGCTGGTTGTTGCTTTGCAAATCCCAATTGTTCAAACGCTCTCCTTCTAGCCTTGTTCATTTGGCTTTGCAGTTACAAAACTTGCAACATTGTCATCCTTATGTATGAAAATTAGAGGACAAAAGTGCCCAAACTGTAGATGACAAGATTCAACAAAACCACTGAGTCCAGGATGAAATTATTAATAAACTGAGATGGCAACAGGGAACTGCTTAGTTAGAGGACATGGAGAATTGCTGGGAAGGAAAGTTCCTGTGCTGTGCAGAAAGATTTCACTTTGCATGTTGGACTAGGTAGGCAAGATAATTTGGCCAGTCATGGCTGAGTCACTTCAGATTTGTGGTTGCTGTGGTGGCTTAAGCTTTGGAGTACAGCTGATCCTCATGCTGCAAACTGCTCCTCAGCCATTCTTGCCTAAGTTATGAGTATAATCGCATTTGACCGCAGCGTGGGAGTGTTTACAGTTAATGTTGAGCAGATGTGCTGTGCGATGGGAGCACACATCTAGTCCTAAGGCAGGGAGAAGTTTCGGCATTCACAGTGGTTTTGGAGCTCCAGCCCAGAAGGGCTGTTCTCAGCACTGGTCTTTCTGGGGAGCAGCAGGCAGGTTGGGGAGGCTGGTCTGGGAGCTGGGGTGCTGCAAAGCAGGGTGAGATGAGCCAGAGCACTGAGGGGTGGATGCAAGAAAAGCTCTTTACAGAGAAATGAGAGAAAACACACAGGTAGGAATGAAGCTAAAGATCAGAACAGTCCTGTGGGTTTTAAGATGGGTCAGGTAAAGGGGGGTGGGTGGAGAAGCAGCATGCTTCTCCAGAAAAGCCAGAGAGATGCTTTAGTGGCAGTGTTTTGAACCATCTAGTGGGACAAGAAGGTGTGAGAAGAGAGAGTAGAAGAGATGTAGTTTGAGCTGATCGTGGCCTCAACCAGCATTCAGATTTCAGAGGTTCTGTGAAACAAAACCAGCAGGATTTGGTAAGAGCCTGGAGATGAGAGTGCTGGCAGATGCCAAAGACTTGTCTGCGCAGTGAGCCGCTGGCAGGGCTGGGAGAGACTCAGGAGAGCCGGCGCTGTGCCCAGGCTCAGTCCGTTGTTCCAGACCATCTCTTTGCATAGGGTTAACTGTGTTTTATTTAGTTCCCCTCTGGGAGAGGTATAGAGCAAACCCCAGGCTAATGAGGGCTCAAGAACAAAGCAAAGTATTGCTAGGTAGGGAGTAACTAAATAAAAATGCATAGAAGAATGCGCTGGAAAGCTATATTAAAACTGCATTGTAAACGGATTTGACTTCACAGAAATCTTGTAATTTTACCAGCATGATTAAAGTGACAGAAGACAATAATCAAAGGCAGAAAATGGAATCACTCGGTGTTTCTAAATGTAAAACTCTATTTAAGGTATAAAACCTGACAGGTTTTCCAGTGAGACTTGCATTAAATGTTCTTTATGTCAAACAAAGCATTATCAAGTGTTTTGAATATTTATTAGTTTTTACCCCTTAATTTAATCAAGCAGTTTATTAGCCTCAAGGTTTAGCCAAGTTGCTTTTCAACTTGAATTGCTGCTCAGATGGTTATTTTGGAAAGTTTGGAATGTTAGTACTGCACCAGCATTATTGTGCTTGCTATTTAAGTGTTGTTTTCAGATTAAGTTAACACTGAAATGCAGAGAAAGTGGGGTATGTGTTCCTAGGCTAGTGATTCTTTATTATCAAGTCTGACTGGTGTGTTTACAGTGAATATTAATTACATTTCCAACTACTAATAAGCCAGAACTTGAAAGTGTTTAGTATCTGACAGGTCACCCAGCTGAAAGCAACACTCTTATAGTTCACATAGTTTTCCCAGGTTTGGGGGATTTTAAGCCACATGAAGTAGTCTGAGAAATCACCATGAGTTGTTAGGCTTATTCTCCTCTGCAGCCAGCCCACTCTGAGCAAAGCAGTGGCCAGCAGCCTGGAGCTGCTCACAGCTCCCTCTTCCTGCACCAGTGCAGCTTCCTGCACCTGGGACCTTGACCAATAAATGTCCTTGAGGAGAGTGTGGAGCTATCAGCCTCCAGTCTGCCACAGTGCTGGGTTAGGGGGTGACTGGCACAGGAGTTGCCTCTCCTCTGCAGCCAAAATATTCTCTGCCTTGGATCTCCCCCTGCCATCAGGCTTGTTTCCACAGAAAATTTATGAGCAGCATCCGTCCCCATCACTGCAAATATAAAATTCAGGCAAAACCAGGACCTATCATACCTACTTACTTGAGACTCACTCCCTGCTTAGAGATTGTCAAACAAAAATCATCATAGACAATATTACATTCTGTAACAAGTTTTCCTTGGCTAACCACAAACAGCTCCATTAGCTACCATAGATGGTGCTTGACTCTGGGCTGTGCTGCCACAAGATTCACCGTGTTAAAAAAAGTTAGGAAGATAGGGAAATAATCCTTAGAAGAAATGGGAGATGCATCATTGTCCTACAAGACATTGTAGACAAGACATTGGATATTGTATAAAATGTGATGTGGGATGGTGCTGGCTGCTCAACAACACTGCACTGACACCAGGGCTGCAGCCTGTCAGAGGGAGGGTACAGTATTAGTGTGCATTTATCAGCATACACCTGAGACAGAAGCTGGGACAGGCTGCTCTAAGGCTGAATTTCAACTTTGCCACTGCTCAGCAGCCTGTTGCAGTGAAATGTGCCTCCCTGGCAAGGTCTCTTGTGGGTTGAATTCTTCTACTTGGTATTTCATGTTAAAGTTCTGCAAATCATCAGAGTAGGATTTTGTATCTACAGAGCAAGGGTGGAAATGCCTGTGTCAGTATTACCTGGGCATCCTGAGCATCCTGGGTAGACAGTCCAGAGCTGGGCATCACTTCCAGTCCGGTTGCAGATGCACAGTACTCCAAACAGTGCATAAAACCTGAATGAGAAGATTGAGTACTTAGCAGTGTGTTGAGTCCATTACCCTGCTCAAGCAGAGGCTTTAGAGAACTGGACCCTCCCCTCACGCTGTAAGCCATTCATTCTTTGTTCCTGGTTTAGCAAAATCCTCTTCCCTCCCATTGTCACATTACATAGCAGTGCCCTAGCCTCTCAGTGGAGAAATAGTGGATGTCCTGTTACAGGAGCTGGAGCAGGTCAGGGTGGTGGGGCAGGCTGTACTGCTGGTGGCTGGTCCAGGCAGCCTGCAGCACATGGAGTGTGTCCCTTCCCAGTACTGTCACTAGTGAACAGCAATGAATTTTTTTCCTGCCTAGCAGAAGACACTTTTTAATTCCCTCTACTTGTTATGGTGCAACAAATTCCCTTTATTTATTGCCACTGCCTGGTAACAGGTACCCAGACTCCCTGTTGCCACAAATATGTATTGCCTGTTTGCCCAGCACACCTCAGATTCCCAGCTTATGTTACAAATCCCTGCTTCCAGGTGTAGAACCATTCCCAGCATATTTGTGCTCAGCCCAAGTGCGAAATAGACACAGAGAGGAGAGTCTTGTTTTAGAAACTAACCCAAACACGTCGGCTTAACCCAGACAGTTCTGAGCAGATGCACACCTTTGTCCCATGGAGCAAGTGATGCTCCAGCACAGCCCCAGTTTCCACACAGCCATCTGAAATGTAACTGTATCATTCTGGGAACAGTAGTGGAAGAGCTGTTTCATTTGAAAGCAGGTTGTCTTATCACAAAATTATATCAGAATATAAAACTTACCTGGTATGTTTTAGGAAAAATGATGGCTAGCAGGAGTCACTCCAGAGCTGCATTTGATGCAGTGGGCTAATAGCTGGCTGTGGGAGAGGGGGGGTGATCCTGGGTTTGTAGATTTAAGCTGATCCCATGCTTAGTAAACAGGGAGCTTCACTGGTGGACAAAGGAAAGCAGCATTGGTTCAGCAGAGAGTGCTGATTTTGGAGAGTAGGGAAAATACCTTCCATCAGGAAATGAGGCTTTGGGGCTTATGTTGTCTTCCCTAGAGACCAGTTAATGCAGCCAGCCTCCACACCTCTATGTCTGGCCTGTTCCCAACTGCTTGTTTGCAGATACTTTCTATATGATTTCTTCTTTAAGCTTCCTAATGTTTTTCATCTTCCAGCTACTTCCCATGAGTGAGTTTGTTGCCCTCATTTCTTCCTGCCTGCTCTTATCACTCTTCCCTCTCAACACCTTCTCCTGTCCTTTTTTCTCCCTTAGTGGGGTGCATATTGTTCCAGCCTTAACAGACATCAAAGAGATGTAAAGGATCTGATGTCCCTTTTGTAATGTGATAACCTTGCCAGTGTCACTGTGAATATTCATACATCTCCAGGCTGTGGGCAGCCCTGGGGTGAAGGAGCACCTCTGCACTACTGCTGTGGGTCTGTGGTGCCAAATTTGAACAAAGCTAACTACTTTGGTTCAATAATACCCTGCAGCAGCAGATTTTACAGGTTAATTCCAAGCTGCTATGAAGAATTGCCCCTTTTTGTGCTGCACATTCATTGGCCTTTGATTGCCCCTCTTCCCTGAGCCCTGGAGCAGCGGTGCTGCCATTATTTTTCATGTAATTTTGGTCCTCATTTCTTGATTACTTCTTGTCATCTCCTTCTTTCCAGTCCAGATGATTCCAGTCATTTCACTCTTACGATTTTTCATTTAATTTCATTGCAGTGGTGGAGAATTGGCCTTTATGCCCAGGTGCTGACCTACAGCACACTCCACAAAAATCCCGTAGTGTTACCTGTGGTGCAGCATTTGTATCTGTAAGCAGGGGTAAGGGCCAGGAAAGCAAAGGGCAGTTCTTTGCAGAGAGAGGCTGGTGCAACTGGGAATTTGAAGTGCTCAAAGCCCAAGTGAGGTGATGGACAAAATGACTGGGAAGTAAGTTGGTGGAGTGCACAGCTGAGCTCCCAGCCAGCAGGATGGTCACTACTTCCATATAATTTACCAGGCTCCAGAGTAGCTTTAAATACATGAATAGTCATGAAACACAAGGAGCAGCTGGGATGCTGCAGCTGAATTTGAGACTCAGCAAATACAGGTGAGAAGTGAAGCTGAACTGACATCTCTGTTTTGTAACATGTGCAAGAGGTGACAGCAAAGCCTGAGATCTTCTCTTGTAAGATCAGAAGTGAGTATCTGAGGCCAAGAGTGAAGATTAGAGCTCAGGACATCTTCTGTTACATTGGCAGGCTTTGCTTATTGCAACCAGTTATTTTGATTTCTTCATCCAAAAGTAAAGCCTTCTGGCATTGTGGGATAATAAATTAAAGAATAATTCGGTGCGATGGGAACTTCATGGTCAGCTCGAATAGGTTCAACACTTAACACAGTGTGGTTTTCTGTGTAGGTGTAAGAAGACAAAGTATGTGGGTACCTGTTGCCTTTGCACTCTTGCTGACAATACATAAGCCTAAGTAGGTCAAACAGAAACAATACTCAGTTTTAGAAGAGAACTATAAGCATTTCTAGTTTCTCTCTCTCCCTCTCTCTCTCTTTTTTTTTTTTTTTTAACTCCTAGGACTTTAATCTTTTATATGAAGAAGCAAAGTATTACCAGCTGCAGCCAATGATTAAGGAACTTGAGCGATGGAAACAAGAGAAAGAACAAAGGAAACATTTCCAGCCTTGTGACTGCTTGGTCGTAAGAGTGACTCCAGATCTGGGGGAAAGAATTGCATTGAGTGGGGAGAAAGCTTTAATAGAAGAGATTTTCCCAGAGACCGGGGATGTCATGTGCAACTCTGTGAACGCAGGCTGGAACCAGGACCCTACCCACGTCATCAGGTTCCCACTGAACGGATACTGCCGGTTGAATTCAGTGCAGGTAATGGCCTCGTCGTGCTGGCTCATCTATTTGCTGGGCTGGGTTTTTTTATTATTTCTTGTTCAATTATATGCAAATTATTTGCTTCTGCCCAATTACCTTCAGTGCTTATACTGCAAGGAGACATTTTCTGCCTGGTGAGATCACAGTCTTTCAGGTTTTCCTAAGTCTAAGCAGAAAAATAGATTTAGATTTTGTGTATGTTAGTGCCATGCTGGTCTCATAATGGTGTTATACTGATAAATGCTAATTTTTTTCATCAATGTATAGCCTGCAGCAGGTTTTTTTTTTCCACTAAAGTGCCCCCAGGAAGACAGAGAGAGTTCCAAAAACTACAAAAAAAAAATCTCCACACCATTTTATAGAAAATGCAACAATGTGTAAATGCATAATTTATGTCTCACTCATAATTAAATGATGGTGCCTGCGGGATGGACTTAAAAAAATTGATCTCTGCACTTTTTTTTTTCAAAAGGATGTTCTATAAAAATTGCCCAGAGTATTTTAAACAAAATGTATTTCATTTTATACTCAGAGTTTTGACATTTAGTTTAAAATTAAACATATGAAACAAAAGAAGATAACTGGACAGATAGGTGGATAGTAGTGGAAATAAATATGTGGCCTGTGTTTAGGTAGCAGCGTGATGGGCAAGAAATGGCATTTCATAAGAGATCACTGCCACTGCAGCCAAAGCTTTGGTGTTGTAGCTGTCCTTGGGCTGCAGAGAAGGAACGGGGTTGATGATGCTGTTAATTTGTGCACTAATTAACAAGGGCAAAACAGAGTTCTTGGGTTTTGCATGTTTGTCTTTAAAACATGCTGCAAGTACTTGTATTATGGGAAGTGCAATCAACTTATAGGGGAATATTTCCAAAGTTACTGTCCCCAGCAGATGAGCTGTGGCTGCATATGTTAGCTGGGCTGTGGGAAATGCCTTAGTGGTCTTGATATACTTCCCTGTGGCCAAATACCCACAGAAGAGCTGTCTCATGGGATGGGCTGGCCAGGCAGGCCATAACAGCAAGGGAGGGCAAGGATCTAGAGCCCTTGCTTACCTTACTACACAGGAAGTTGAGGCATCCTCCATCTCCCAAGCTGCCAGCTGACAACATTTTTTGGAAACCTGCAGTTACCAGAATATGTAAAGGTGGATGGAGTTGTTTTAACAACCTGTATTTGACACTGACACCTCCCTCCTTGGGGCAGCATTCCCTGGTGCTCTGGACACTAAGAGGCTCTTTTGTCTGAAACCATTCTAAACCCAGCTACTTTTGGTGATTTTTGGTTCAAGACTCCCAAGTGTTGTAATTTGGTTGAACTTCAACAGTCCAGTGCCTGTGGTTAACTTTGCACAGTCCTTGGCAATTTATACATTTGGCAAGGTTAAGTTTGGGCTGCCCCAAAACCAGAAGGCTGGAGGTGGGTCAGCAGCAGATTTGTCTCCTAGCAGTGGGAATAGGGCTGAATTCATCACTGTGCTGGGTGGAGAAGGGAGCAGCTGCAGTTCAGCAAAGGTAAGTACATGGGGAAGCATGTTTGTTTCTCAGCTGCACTGCCCATGAAATAAGAGTTTGATGTGTGCAAGAAATCAGAATAACTGGAACAATAAAGGGCCCACTGATGGGCTCAGCCCTGCAAGCAGCCAGTCAAAGTACTGACGTCCACATGGCTAAGCACTTGGCTCTGTTTTATCCAAAGTGGCATACTGGTAGGAAACGTGTGCTTATAGTAAAAGCTGAATGCTAATTATTGCTATTATTTGAATATGTTTTGAATTAAATTAAAATTCAGACAGAATCAAAGAGTCTCTTTGCAGGTTCATGTTGTGAAAAAAAAAATTCTGTCCAAGAGTCTACAGTCTAATATTATTAAATTATATCATTTTACTAAATTACATCATTTTACTATATAATTAATATAAAGTGGTTTTAAACACTTTCTGTAAAATGATGCTTTTCTGAGACCAAAGGCTGATGAAATCAGCAGCTAATTATCATTGGCTCTGATGGCCTCTGGTCACTGCATAGGCACTGCCCTTCCCCTTCCCAGGATATTTTGGCAAAATAGTATTACATCAGAAGTTGAAAGCACAGTGAAGTAAATGCACAGACTTAAGGGAGATGGGCTAGAAGGGATAGTGGTTGAAAGAGCGAATAATTTCCAAAGAATCTCAGAGTGATGCAGTAAGTCTGCCTGCTGTTTGACAAGATGCATCACTTGTGTCTCCCCATGCCCTGCTGAATGTATTTGGTAGGAGAACTGCTATATATTCTTTGGATGTTAGGAGAAGAATTTCATTAAGTGTTTTGTGTCAGGAACTGTGCATATGAATAAAAAAATTTCAACACTGAGTAGGTAGTGGCAGCCAAAAAAATTCAGTAGCTCTTAAAACCCATTTGTAATTACATATGGGTATAAAATTTTCTTAAGATTGAGACTGTTTTTTCAACTCCTTACAGCAGGTTCTGGTGAGATATTTAAGCTTACCTTGGAGAAAATTCTGTGATGCTTGTGTATGTTGAGCATTCAGCCTTCATAATCAAGAATGTATTTGTTAGGATTCTGCAAAATTTAAATTAGATGTAATAAGTGGAAGTATCATGTTTCTATTTGGAAAACCTTCCAACAAAATCAGAGTCAGTATCTCAGTGTGCTCAGGATACTGGAAAACAGGGTATATTGAACCATAGAACAAATCCTCTATTTAATATTGTGTGTGTGTCCCTGTACATAGGAGAATCACAGCTGATACTCGTTTATTTTTTGGCATATTCTATGTGATTCAGAGACACTCACTGGTTTCCCTCTGTCTGTATCTTGGCTTCAGAAAAAGTGAAGCACATAGAGCCCAATTCACTAGATGGCATTTAAATCTGCTGATGTTCAACATGTCATTCAGTCTCACACAGACACTGGCACATACAAACCAGTGCTCAGCACACATGGAAACTCCTCATTTAGGAGGCTTTCTCCATAGACCTGAGCTCAGCCTCATCCAAGTTACACTTAAAACTCCACAATATTTAAACATTCTCTGCATTGTTTACAGGATTTGGCCTGTTTTGTTTCTTGCTGAGAAAACTGATGATGGTGAAGTTTTAACACTAGCTGATAGCCTGCAGTCTAGTCCCTCGAGCGCGCAGGTAGCAAAAATGAATTGCTTTGTTCTGCGTGCACTGCTCTAAGGTGTAATGTCTACCTGGATTGTGTGTTTGCAGTGAGCTGGCTTAGTAAAGATGAGTCCTATGTTAACAAGCAGCCTTCCATAGCTTTGGACTGAGGCAAGCCAAGGGCACCCCTGTGCTTGTTTTGTCTTACAAGCAAATTGATTTAAAAAAGTTTTTAGCGAGGATTTTGAAGTCATGTCTCTCTCTGAACTCTTACCTTTCGAACCTCTGTTTCACTATCCAGTTCAATGGAAGAAGCCTCCTTTCCTGTAGCTGGGTTGCCTCTCATCTTCATCTTGCCAAGTCTAGGAACAGGATACATAATTACAGTCAAAATACGCTCCAGCTTGTGAAACAGCAGTCTGATGACCATAGAATCACAGAATACTAGTTCAACCCCTCTGCCTAAACAGGATCACTTAGGGCAGGCCATGCAGGAACACAGGCAGGCAGGTTTTGAAAGTCTCCAGAGGAGACTCCACAAACTCTCTGGGCAGCCTGTTCCAGTCTTCATAACCCTCATGGTAAAGAAGTTTTTCCTCATGTTGGAGGCGGAACTTCCTTTGTTCTAGCTTATACCCATTCTTCCTTGCTCTGTTACTGGGCACCAGCAAAAAGAGACTGGCTTCTTCCTCTTCACACCCACCCCTCCAATATTTATGGACATTAATAAGACCCCCTCTTAGCCTTCTCTTCTCAAGACTAAACAGTCCCAGCTCTCTCATCCTTTCTTCATAGAAGAGATGTTCAAGTCCCTTACTCATCCTCATAGCTCTCTGTTGGACTCTCTCCAGCATGTCTTATTCCTCCTTCCCTCTCAAACTCCTGCCTTCCTCTTTGAGCCAGGAGCAAGAGTTACTGTCTGCACTCTATTTCTGTCCCACAGGCTGCACACAGCCTAGACAAAGCAAGAGAGTTTTAAGCTCTCTCTCAATACATTTTGATAACCCACTCTCCTCCCAACCCTTCTTTTAATCTCTCTGGGTTAATTTTTCTTCCGTACACTGGGGTGCTATTTTGATCTTTCAGTTCCAACTTTCTTACAGTATAAAGCAAATAAAAATCAGGGCAAAAGTCAGTGAAATTTGGCAGATGCGACTTTCTGAGAACATAAATCTGTGTGTACCAAGGCCAGGCAGGGCTCCCTGGGCAAGTTATTTGCAGCAGATTCTGCATGGCCTAGGCAAAGCTGTGCTAGAGCAGCTCCTTTCCTTTGCCTGTCCTTTGCTGCCAGGGTAGCAAGTACAAGGTTTTAGTTGCCACTAATAACCCAATGGATTAAAACACAGATGGCTAATATAGGCAACCTCAAAGCAGGGTACCCATGGATTAAAAAGAGCAAATACTGCTATGATTTGCACTACGATACCACCTTGGAGACAGCAGTCCTTTCAAATCAGTTAGCACTAATAAAGGCTCTAAACTGATGTTTCTGGAGAAATCAAAGCCAACATTCAGTCTGAAGATGCAGTGCACTAAGAAACGCACCTTGGCCTCACATGGGTCTGTGTGTGAGGGTAAAGACAGAGGTCTAGTGTGCAAATCTTTAACATCATCATCTTGGGCCTTGAAATGTAAGACTTAAGTACTACTGTAGTAGGTGTAGTAGTACTGGCTACTAAAACCAAAAAAGCGAGCAAATGCTGTAACATAAACCTGTTGACCCCACCTGAACATGGGTATGCTGCTGAGACACTTCTCTAGGTTGAGTGAACAAGTTTTAAATAGCTTAGTCTCTGTCACTGTGGGTGGAAGACTCATGCCATATGAGGACGCTGGCGTTCCTCAGGGAGCTGCTGCTGCTCTGGACTTGGGAGAGCTGCCAGAGAGAGTGAGCACAGCATCTCCTCCAGTAGATCTTGCACTGCAGATCTACAGGTGGATCTAGCATCTGCTCTCACGTAAGACCAAGAGCAGCCTGTGTGCTTCCTGCTCTGCTGGGAAACCGTATATCAACACACTCACCCATGTGAAAACACAGCCCCAATCATATTGCCAAGATCAGTATATCCTAAGGTAATGTGCTGTGTGACAGTCTCAGAAATTAAAGTTGCCTCTGGGTTCCTTAAATTCATGCATCTGAATTGCACCAACTTTTCTTTAGAAGGAAGAAGAGAAAATACATATTTGGGCAATACGAATTAACCTCTTTCTTGGGCCAGAATGTTTCCTTATTGTCCACGGCTTGGCTCTACATCCTGTCCCTGCCATGCTTTGCTAAAAGCAGCACTCCCTTCCAGCAATGGAAAAATCACAGTAGTGATTTCCATTAAGACCTGGTGGAAGTTTCACTCGGTCTTCTAATACATTTTCATCTGCCAAGGAAGAGCTGAGAAATGTTTTCAGCCCCTTTCTGTCAGACTGTTCATATTACTAATGAATAATGGGCACTCTTTACTACAACTTAAACCCGACGTTGCTTTCTATAAGCAGTAAGAGATAGCATCAATATCACTGCAGTCCAGTATTTTACTATATAATGTACTAAGCTGGTCTGCAGAGTGCTTATTTGTTTGATTAATTTTTGTTTTCTACAGAGGTTTGCTGAGAGCGAGACTTTAATCACAGTGTAGTCATTTAAGAATAAGTTACAGAATTATTGCTGAATAATATTCATTCAATGAGGACTCAAAAGACTAAAGCCATCATTTAGATCTGGTGCTCCTGAATGCTTTTATCAGTAAAATTTGCTAAATATTAATCTGTTTTTTTTCCCCTACATTGCAGGTGCTTGAAAGATTATTTCAGAAAGGATTTAATGTGGCAGCTTCATGTGGTGGTGGGGTGGATTCCTCTCAGTTCAGTGAATACGTGCTGTGTCGTGAAGACAGACGACCACAACCTACCCCAACAATCAGAATAAAACAGGAGCCCCTGGACTAGACCCTACCTGTACTCCTTTGTAACCGTAGAAGTGTTTAATAGTCCCTTATGTGAAACACTAAGGATTTGCAAAACAGTATTAGCAAAAATATTTTGACTTGATGTTGCCGATTAGTGGTATTCTGAAACTACCTGTCACATAGCCAGCCATGAGATGCATTTGAAAAATCAGTTGTCCATTTTTCACAATGAAATTCCTGAGCATGCTGGGCGTACCAGGCCTGCTGGGGATGTACTCTGGGCTGAACAGCTGTGGTGGTGAAGAAGGCAAAGCTTCATAAACCCCTGACCCTTAGATTGGACTTCTACAGAAAGACCAATGAAGGCAATCTGAACAGATCAACAGGAGAAACGGTTCTGCCAGTCTTTCCAACGATCCCCCAATGCTGTGACGCCTCCAAGAGGAAGATGGTACATTAAAAACTGCACTGAGGATCCTCCTGATGACCACACCTCCTTCATATCAGACGTGCTTTACACCTCCATATATTACGTTACACTTCCGTGATTGTACACACTCATACTAGCAAATGGCTTATTTTTATACAACATTTCCAACTGAAATATCTATCTCTTTGTGGACAGAATCCAGAACCAGAAAAGGACCGATTTATAGTCAACTGGTGCTCAATACTAAAAATACACACACAAACAAAACAAAAAAGGAACAAAAAATTTGGCAAGGCCAATTATGGGAATATTTGCAGAAGTAGGGATCTGGAAGCACAAAACAAAATGCCACCTGCCATCACACAAGGGTCAAATACCTAACGTGGAGCTGTAGTTCTCTTAAAGTCAGTCTTGTTTTGACTCAAAAACTGTAAAGTTTTGCATCACAAAGAAGTGTGGTTCTGCCAAGCGAGCTCTGCCACTCCTTGTTACTTATTTACTAACCATGTGATAAGCCCATATTTAGGAGGAAACATTAAGAATTTTGGACAAGCCTACTCTTTATGGGTCAGGAATTTTTGCAAAGAAATGTTAAAACCCTCTACTGCCATTGTCTGATGAAAGCAGGCCACTTCTTATTTAGGTTGTTTTTCCTCTCTTATTTTAAACTATTCTTAAAATACTGATTCTGTAGCTGCCTGCTACCTGTGTAATCTTCTCTTCAACAAAGCCCACTGTCTGCAGGAGGTTACTGCTCCTTCCATGCATCAGTATCGACTCTTGACTTGCAGGGCTTCCTAACTCAGGAGACAGCACCATGTTTGCAGGTGCAAGGTTATAAATAGCATTCTGCTAAATCCTGTTTATTGCTGTTTAGCATGATTGGGTCCTCAATATCTAATTCATGTGTTAATCACAATTTAGTTTCTCCCACATTAATTTATAGAATACTGTTGTAGATTATTAATTTTAATAAGACTCTTTTTAGACGCATAAATACATCCATTCAGAACAAGGGACAGAGTACTGAATGGTCAATAATTCTTTAATGCCAAATGATTCAAATCAGGCAATAGATTAAAAAAAAACATGTTTAAGACTAGTATTTTCAAAAGTCATGGGCTGTCCTGACCATCCAAGGTGCAGTCTAAGCAGGGGTCTGATTTTTGGAAAAGGGCTGGATACCTGTCCGTGGAAAATCAGACCTCCACAGGTTTTTCTCACCTAGGTTACTCAACTCAGAAATCTCTCCTGGAAACCTTAGCCAATATGTATTGGCCTGCTAACTTAGCAGAACAGTTGAGCAAATCTGTCTACTTTTAAAGAGTTGTATTTTATTTTGTGGTTTTATACTTGTATGACATTCTAAAGTTGCTAGGCACTGCCATATTTGAGTATATGGCACAACATTCACCTTTGTATGTAAGATATCTGTAGAATTGTATATTATACATTTAATATTGTAAAGAACTTAACGTATAATTGTCATGTATTTGTGTATGCACATTTCTTATACAGTACTTCATGCCATAAACATTTCTGTAAAGTAAATGATCAAAAATAAGCAAGTAGGGTGGAACACTCACTGTTATCTCCCATCTTGTTTGAAAGAGGTGAGAACTTTCAATTGCGTCTCCTCCGGCCTTTGGCTCCGTTCAGCTTGATGTAGCCATGTTTTACAAAAAGAAAAAAAAAAGTTGTTTATTTATTACTTTCATACATTGAGTTCACTTTAAGTTCAAAGTATCTTTAAATAATCCAATTACCTTCCGTGTTTTATCCTACATATGCTTTTGTCCTGTCCTGAACAGGGAGAGCAAGCACCAGTGGTGGCTGAGCGCTCCTCTGTCCGTGTGTCCTCTCCCTTCCTTACCTCTCAGCCTGAGGAGAGGTGAACACCTCACTCACGTTTACATTTAAAAAACAGGGGCCCAGTTCCGCCACTGGTGCTCAGGCCAAGCCTCCCCCAGGGCAGTCTGCAAGCAGGGCAAGACACTGAGTGCTGGGCACGTCCAGCTCTCACCAGCAGCGCTGGCCAAGCTGGAAGAGGGCTGATGCTCCCAGATATCTGTAGCATTCACAGCACTGCAAGTATTTGTGGTTGGATGGTTTGTTTTTCTTCAGTTTGGTGTTTACTCTTTTTTTTTTTTTTTATATAGCACAATAAAGCAGCTCCAGTACTTAGGGCAGCTTGCTAAGGTGGCACCATAAAGGGTTCTGGGCTGTGCCAGCTGCGTTAAATGTGAACTTGAGATGGAAAGTTTGAGCTGTGACATCACAACATTGACTGCACTAAGGCAAGGAAGACATGTGGAAACAATCACTTGGTTAAAAGAAATATGCCTTTAAAAAAAAAAATAAAAATTGAGCTAGGACATGTTCTTTTTGTTTAGTAACTTCAGGTCACTTATTTAAAATTTATTACAGTTTCATTTATAGCTTTTTTACTTATTTCCCTTTATTTTTAGGCAGCAATATCAGCAAAAGCTGATTTGAATTTTTACTTCTGGCCTTAAACCACAGCAACATAATTAAGAACATTGCTCAGTGTCGCTAAAACAGGTTTTAAAATACCATAGAAGGTCCAGGAAAGCTGTGGTGTGCAGCCAGCAAAAGCTTTTATTATGAAAGCCTAAAAGTAAACGTGGCCTGGTTTTTTGCCTAATTTGATTGAACAAAATTGTTCTGCTTCTCTGTTGCTGAGCACTGAAACTGTGGCTTGAAGAACAAGAGTCTCTCTGTACAACCCTGCTGCACCACTGAGCTCCCAAATCTTGGAGAGAAAGCAAAAGACAATGTTATGTTGTGCTTATTGGACCAAGAGCTTCTGAAAAAAGCAACTGTTGAGTGCATTCATTCACTGTATTAATGGCATTGAGGTTTGCTGACAATTTTATTAGATGTTTGACAAAGGATAAGAATCAGCACAACAAAACATTGAAGTATTTGGTTTTAATATTTCTTTGTGGGTATTCTGTTAATATTTTAATGCAAAATGTTTCTGAACAGTGCTTAAGAACAAGACAATGTGAAACTCATTTTTGATAAATTAATATTGTATGTCACTCAATGTGTTACTTTAGTAAATTGTTTTATTTCTTTACAAAATAAGTACAAATAAGGGAGTATGTTTTCACACAAATTGGGGGTATTTACGAGTATGTACAGAAATCATCAAAATAACGTAATTCTAATAAACACAAGGCCTTTATAAACAATATGTACAAATTATCAATACATTTAAAACATAATTTTACACTTCCTGGCCTTAAATACCTTATGAATAATCTTTTGGCTAAATAGCAGCAGTATAAATTTTCTTCTGCTTTTCATAAACCTTAAAAAATAATTAAAACTTTCATTTTTTAAAACTATTGGACAAATAGTTCTATTTGTGCTTTCACTATGGTTTCCCATAAAAAAAAAATATTGCCTCAAAAAAGTGGCAAGCATAACATAGTAAAAATTTAAAAGATAAATAAGCAAATGTCTCCCTTCCATGGTTACTGATAATACTGTTATGTTTGAAGTACAACTTGTGCCCACCTGCCTGCTTGGTGTTCCCATTCAATGCCCATTTAAAAGACTCACACCAACTTTGCTTGGCTTTGGTGTGGGCCCCTTAAACTCCAATTCAGCAAAGCATTTGTAAAGCATTCATGCCACCTTAAATCTACTCATTATGCTTAAAATCATGCACTTGTTCATGAGCCTCTCTGCACTGGTGTCCTCAGGTCCAAGCAAAGGCACAGCCAGTCCCCTCGGCGCTGCCCTGGTGGCACCAGCTGCCAGGGCTCGCTCACCCCTGCTCTCACCATTCTCTGAGAGCAGAACCAGCCCCAGAAGCTTCCTTTACTTTAAAAACTCATATAGAATACTCTAAAATCTTTACTGAACAATACTCTCTTTTAAAACCACCATTACACTATACTCTTTGCAATAAATAAAGATTTTTTTTTAGAAAATTAAACCCAACTTCGATTCGTGTTACTAGCCAGCTGCTGCAAATGTGCAAAAGGCTGAAGAGATTTAGAAAACAACTGGAAGCTAGTCAAGATAACTCAGCTGGGACCCAAACACACAGATTTCATACACTTAGGATTTGGTTCAGCAAATGGCTCAGGAAACGAGCTGTGCAGTAAAAGCAAAAATCCTAAATATAGAAAATTTGAGAGTGTGTGCAGTGGCTATTCTCTTAGCTGTGCAAAAAAATGCAATTACAACATTGAAAATAACAAGTATCACCATGGTTAGTCAGTGGAAACAGTGCTAGTAAAACCAAAAAAAAAACAACAACCCCAAAACCAGCACCGTAAGTGAACACAGAGGTTAACACCACAGTTAGGTCCCAATCACCCTCCTTGCTGTGAGATGATTCAGGTGAGCCATTGCAGCAGTTCTTCCATTTGTGTAACTTCAACACCATCTACTTCAGCCTTATCTAAAATGGTCAAACAGAGCAAGACTTTGATGTTGGTTCTTACCTGTGGATTTAACATTTTAAAACCTTTTGCACATTTTTGTGGTTTTGTTTGTTTGTTTGTTTTACATAAAGGGAATTTATTGCATGTGTCTGAATTTTACAAAACAAAATTACTGGAACATTGACTTCTGAAAAAAATAGAAGGCACATCAAAATGACAGCTTTTCAATGCAAGTTGAGCTTCTTTATGGAGAAATCAGTACAACTCTTGGTTTTATTTAAGCAGAGCTCGATAGAGCAGGAGAGAATGGCTCGTTTCTCTTTCCTGTTCCATGTAGAAGATGAAGTCCCTGAGGTTTACGCGAGTTATTTTCTGTCGTGCATACTGCCTGGATGAAGGGGTTCCCAGGCCAGCCTGACTTCCACCAGACATAGCGAGACCCTACAAAGAAAGCACAGCAAAGTCAGAAGTCCTGCAAAAGTGAGGAGCTTCCTCATACTCTCAGGTTTACAACTAGTAACTGCCAGATTATTTTAAACAGTTTACATGGATTATTATGGGCCTAATTCTTAAAGCACTACA